ACTGGTATAACACAGTTTATAAAGACAATGTTCTACATTCTACCTTGGTGAGTAGCATCTGGGGTCTTAAAAGCCTGTGAGCAGCCATCTAAGATACTCTACTGGTCTCATCCCTTCGGGAGCAAAGGAGAATGAAGAGAACAGGGTACAAGGAAAAGATGAGTCCAAAGGACTAACGGACCACAGCTACCAAGACCTCCACCGGACTGAGTCCAGTACAGCTAGATGGTACCTGGCTACCACCACTGACTGCTCTGACTGGGATCACAGCAGAGGGTTCTGGACAGAGCTGGAGAAGGATGTAGAACAAAATTCTAACTCACAAAAAAAGGACCAGATTTACTGGCCTAAAGGAGACTGGAGAAACTCCAAGAATATGGCCCCCAGACACCCTTTTAGCTCAGTGTTGAAGTCACTTTCGAGGTTCACCGTTCAGCCGGGGAGTGAACAGCCCCATAAAACCAAATGGGACTAATGAGGCACGGCAGTCCAAGGACAAGGGCTAGAAGACAGAAGGGGACAGGAAAGCTGGTGACAGGGAACCCAAGGTTGAGTAAGGATAATGATGTGTTGTGAGGTTGTTAATCATTGTCATAGGGCAACATGTGCACTAACTGTTAAATGAGAAACTATTTTGTTCTGTAAACCTTCATCTAAAGTGAGAATAGCAGCACAATTGGAAGAGCATAGTCGATGACACTGAACTGTGCATGTAGAAATTTTTGAAATGTTGTATCTTTGGCCATGTATATTTTCACCAAAAAAAAAGTTGAGAAGGGAGAGGGCTGACATGTAGTGGGGTTGTTAACCAATGTCATAAAACAATATGTGTACTACTGTTTCATGAGAAACTATTTTGTTCTGTAAACCCTCACCTGAAGTACAATAAAAAAAAAAATTTATATTTTCCCAATATGCTGGGAAATAGTTGGAACATAATACTGTAATACTCATACTCTTTCTATAGTAGCCACCAATCTCTTACAACAAAAGTGTTAATAAAATTTGGCCAATAGAGTTATTATTGCATTTGTGAAGGGACAACGTAACATTTGCTAACTTGAAGACTAGAAAATTTAGAAATGTGCAAAAGAGTTTTCTAGTCCAATAAAATCATATATGTAGGTAAAAAACACAAAGAAAGAGACTTATTTATCAGTTTGTGTATCTTTATATATAATTCATGTATATATTTAGATCTTTTTGTTAGACAAGTAGCTAAAATGATTCTTTAACCTCAGACTCTTACAGCAGATCCAGGACTACGTGGATCTATTTGTATTTCCAGCCATCAATTGTGGGGAGCTTTTATACTTCAGTAAGTACAGAGTCACCAAGCTCCTTGCTATGGCACAGCTAAACATAACAATCTCTTCCAGAACTTCTATCCATGTGCCTGTGTTGTTAATAATACATTGGTTATTACATTTTTATCTGTCATGGGGTATGAGGGTACACCTTGTAATTGTTATCTAGCATCTTCCACACATTTTAATTGGGAACTTCTTCTAACTCCAGCTCTAACAGCATTATTCTTGCTAATAATAAGGAACAACTGCCAGTCATCCTCTCTGCCATGTCCCTGGAAGACCATTATTAACTGTCTCAGTCATCTTCTCCTCCACACTCCTAATCAAGACCCTCCCTGCATAAAACTTTCTCTTTCTACAAAGGAGTAGACTTCTCATCAATTATATATACTTTTCTATCATGTCCACATCCTTTCAGTTCAATGTCAAGGCCCTCTCAAAGCATGTGCTGCTTATAGCTACCTACCCACATATTCTGTGATTCTTGTGTAAAGTCAGAAGCTACTGTGGGGTTGTAGGAAGAACAAAAAGTTGGGAAACACCTATTAGCTATTGTTACTTAAATTCTCTGTGCCTCCCCCATTGATTAAGTAAAGGTAGTAAAACCAACTTCTGAGGCTAGTGTGAAAATTAAATAAGAACACATATAAAGAAGTTGGCATAGTCTTTAGTGCATAGTAGCGAGTTAATATATGGTAGCTATTCTGCCTTCATTATTTACACATTGAATAATTTTTATTATTTTTTTTCTAAAGTCCTGTCCGGGACTCCACTTACAAAAATTTGCCTTCAGTTAGGCTGAGGACCTGACCCAAGCCATGATCTTTTCAATTGTCTCATATGCATGTAAAAGCTGGACAATGGAAAAGGAAGACAGAAGAACTGATGTACTGGAACGATGGTGTGGGTGAAGAATATTGTATATATCATGGACTGCCAAAAGAACAAACAAATCAGTCTTAGAAGAAATACAACCAGAATGCTCCTTAGAAGCGAGGATGGTGATACTTTGACTCACTTACTTTGGACATACCATCAGGAAAGATTAATTGATAGAAAAGGACATCATGGTTGGTAAGGTAGAAGGCCATTGAAAATGAGGGAAACCTTCAATGAGATGGATTGACACAATAACTACAACAAAACATATCAACAATCACGAAGATGGTGCAGGATCGGGAAACGTTTTGGTCTGTTATACTTAAGATTGCCATGAGTTGGAGCTGACTCCAGGGCAACTAACAACAACAAATGCTGAGTTAGCGAATCTGACAGTCATAAGTAGCATCTGTCTACAATTCCCACCCTCCTGTTTTTTTGGATTGTCTTTAAAGTTAAAATGGTAAGAGGCCCTGTGAGGATAACTGGCCCATACCAGAGTGCCGGGTTACTCTTGCCAGGGAGCACCAGTCAGAGCAGATATTACATTCATTACAGGATTATGAAGTCAGGGGGCTCACGTAAGCCAATACAGCCATCTTTATCCCTTTTATTCTCAGCAGTCTGTAGTCTAGGAAAATATTAACACTACTTTCCAGAGAGAGAAACTGAGTTATAGCACATGATGAAGTTTGCAGGGTATGGCTATGGAAGGGGAAACAGAGTTGCCCAGAAGGATAAATGTAAAGAAAGTTTGGACTCTAAGCATAGAAAAGAATGTAATTAGAATCAATCAAACAAACAAACAAATAAAAAAGTCAGCTGGGTTTTAAAGCTTTGATGAGGATTAGGAAAATGTAGTAAAAGCAAATAGAGGGAGACTGCAGAAAAGAAAGTCAGGAATGAATGAACATTATCTCACTAACTCTAGTACAGAACACACTTTTCCAGAGGGCAAGGTCTGTATCTGCAGATTTTCATTATTTAGGCCATAATTAGAACTTAGTAAATGTTTGCTGATAAGAAGGATAACCACTGGATTACCTAGCAATTTCTAGCCCTCTTTTTCTGAGGTACAATACACTATTTTTGTTTAACCTGATTAAACCACTCATTTTATCACCCCTTCAAGAGATAATCAAAAGGTATAGTTTTATGATTAAGGTACACTAGTTTTGATAATTTTATACCTACCTTGAGTTCAGTAGAAATATATTTGTGGGTATTGATAAATTCAAAATATAATTTCTATATGACATCATACTTCAGATATACAGGTCAAATCAAACCATTT